CAAGCAAAGTCTTCTGAGGTGAATGTAAATAATATGGTTGTTAATAAATGCTGACCTTGAATTCGAATGCATATCACATACAGCTGTGTGTTTCTAAGTTAATCATTCATGCCCGTTATTGAACAAGAAGTTAGGCCGAGCAATTGCATGGACCAGCTCTTTATGCAGTAAGCTGTCTACTTCCAATCATTATGATTCCAACATAACCGAGTACCAGCCTTGACCACTATTATTCTTATCGATTGTAAGAAATCTACCCACATTCCAATAATGTCACGAATGCTCATGATTTTAATAGATATTCTCCAAGTTCGAGTATTGGCGCTTTATCTACAAAGTATGTGCACTAAGCTACTACACAAGTTCTCGACCTAAATTTGGCAGACCGGAAACTGTCAATTTGCCTCAAGGCATTCCTTGTGATAGATACAGGCACTGGGCTTGGCATTCTCATCTACACCATTTTACTCGAAGATTGTAGGACTATCAGTCACAGTTTTGCCTCGAGCCAATAAAAAGCTGAGATACAGTGTATTTTAGCTTTTGCTGGTTGGCTTGCACAAGGAGTCCAAATGTGCGTGTTTAATCAGCCGCCACAAATCCTTGCAATAACCTCATGGTGTGTGTTATTCTTCTATTTATTTGCTCTTGCTGACTGAGTACAGGGCTGTTCCTCTAGCATATGGGACAATATTACTTTTCCTTGCTATTGTCAAGGTAGCTGATTACTGGAGAATGTCATCTCATTTCAAAGGTTTCCACCTTGTCAAAGTTCTCATTGCAGATCAAGTATTATATTATGGCTTGTAGGTGGAGTTTCTACTTATTTACAAGTATTTGACTTATAGCACAATATGTAGTGTGCTTTTTGCTTGCACAATGAAAATCGTGCAACTTCGACTTCTAAACATCAATCCTTTCGTTGCAGCACTACTGAATACAATTTGTAGTCCGACACTTCTCTGTGTCCTTGGAAGCCATCTTCTAGTCAATCTAAAGTAAGCAGGTGAACAAGGCCTGAACGAAGGAACTAATTACAGATTGAATACCATCAGTGACATGGAATTTATCAAAGGTATGTTGGTATGTTTACATATGTCCTTCTGTACTAACTATTACTGACTTCTTTAGGTACTACTGAGACAGTATGATTGATTTAATCAAGAAGGGACAAGTAGTACTTAATAGGCCTTGTTCCTCCCAGCAGATTCTTTTTTTACCAATTTTGACAATATGTTTCATACTGTGTAACAATGTGAGACATGAATCTGAACTCCAGGGTGGACACAACATAGATCTGATAATGTGTGAGTATAAGGGTAGGACAATAACAAAATAGGACAGGTATACAAGTTAAAATGTAGTATTAATATATTTTTATTACTAGTGTTGTGTAAAAGATGGTTAAAATGTGAGTGAATTGATGAGTATAAGAATAATCCTTGTTAAAGCACTCATAATAGCTTTCTGATATTAAAAACAAATACAGTATAATGTTAGTCATTATTTACTAGTATAGTAAGTGTCAAAAGTCTAACAAAACTCTAAACAAATTTGTAATACAATTATATTTTTATCTGTAAGTGTAAGATATACTCACTTTACTAGTCCTAATTGTCAGGAATAGTAATAGAATAGAGTATAGAGAGTAAGACTTGTTAGCTTGTAGAGTGAGAGGGTAGAGGAGTCCTACTTTAGTCAAGCTACAAGAAGGAAGCACAGTCATACTCTTACTAGCACTTGTAACTGTTTACATGTATCTAGTATAGCTTCTCTTAATGAATTGGATAGGCATTCAAGTCTTTTACATTAGTCAAATGCTACAAGTACTAGTAGTCACTTATGAGAAATTTCCTCAGCTTTAATCACAGGCCCTAGATTAGAATGGAACATGATGGGCCAGCACTATGACAACTGTATTGAATGCTTTGTCATGAACTGTTACAGAGCAC